CGTTTTGTGCTCTTTTTTTTTTTTTTTTTTTTTTTGGGGGGGTAAAATTTTTTTTTTTTTTTTTTTTTTTTTTTAGTTATGGCGTTTTTTTCTTTTTTTAAAGACAAATTGAAACTCCATGACACTGGAACTGGGCCGATGGGTCGTTATACATTTTTTTATATATATAACACTGTAAAAACAAGTGTGAAGAAATGAATTGCATCATGTAACTGAATCCAGTCTGTCCCCGTTCAACGTTTGTTTCTATTGTATTTGCATTAAACAGTGCCTCCTACTGGTCACAGTGGTAGGACGCAGCAAAGCCGTCATGTTATTGTGAACATCGAGCTGAGGATTGCATTTCCTCAGTGGAGGCATTCGTGTTTTATTATGTTTTGCTTAAGAAAAACTGAAGCAAACTATATTATGTGAATTTGTATTTGATGCAGCCATTCATATATTCTCATGAAATTGTTTGCTGGTTTTTCATTTGAGTACCATGTTTAAAAGACAAAAAATAAAAACATCCATCTTTGTGTGCCATCATGCTGTTTTCCAGCTCTGTGTCTGCATAGGGAGTCTGTATGAATGTTCAGAAGATGCTAAGTGAGACTTGCACTAACAACTTTGGCTCCTAGATGTTGAAACAGAATGGAAGTGTCAGCAGGTGTTGAGCAATTCGGATTGTCAAAGCTCGAAGGGAACAATGTTTCTTTCACTGTTCTTTCACGGTTTAAGCAACAAGGAAGCAGCTGAAACATGAAGGCGAGTCGTGGGCGTGAGTTTCCTTTTTACGTTGATATGTGACACAGCAGCCTTTTCAAACAGGTTTGTAGTCTAGTTTAAAGGCGAGTGAAGATGACAGCGCACGTAAGTGATATGTTTGAATATTTTAAAGAGAATAATAACATAAATTAGTTGTTTGAAGTAGAGTAAATACTATCATTTAAGATAAAGAAAAGACCTTTGAAATAAAGGATAGTTTTAACTATTTCCTTAATATTATTGGACTGTTTGCAAGTTTGGTGAATGAATGAGAGCTCGCAAAGTGAAAGTAGTATGATATCTATATATATATATATATATTGATGTTCTGAATATATTTCAACTGCGGGTTTGACTTGTTCTTGTGAAGTGAAGTAGTTGTGGTGCATCACTCAGTTTTGTTAGTCCAGGAAGTGCATTTTATAGGAAACCAGAACATGCTTAAAAGATTTTAAACGCACAACAATCTTGCATATTTGCAAAAGGCTGCTCCATAACTCCTTAACATAACACATAAATAAAGGAATAACTAAAGAGTTTGACTTCTGACATGATGTGGTTAAAACCTTAGTTATCATTCAGCAGTTACACTGTAGTATTTATGCAAAACACCCTGCATTGGCTTATACTTCATGCCTAGTTTCCAGTTAATCACTCTTGCGAATCACCTTGCTGGTGCTAAAATACTATTTCAGATCAGTCAAAACTGTGCAGTTGACTAGTAATTAAATGTTAAAATGTCAAGTTTGAGATGCAAAGATTCCACATAATTTGTGTATAAAATCTTGACTATAAGTTTGATCCAATGTCTGTCTCAAAAGTTGTGGTGTCTTCTAAAAAAAAAAAAAAAAATACACTCTGTATGTTACATCTTAATAAGCAGTTTAATCACCACAACTAACCCTGAGTTTATGTAATCAAGCCTAAGTATTTCCTTTGTCTAATTATGTTTGTTTTAATTGTTTCAGGCTCTCATCGGATTCCTCCTCAGTATCGGACTTCTTTTTAAAGCGTGTCACTCAGATGTGAAGTGCAGGAATGACAGAGGAGAGGCTGTTGACTGGTCGGTGAAGATTTCTGACAATATTCTTACCCCCATTGAGCTTAAGCTGAATAAATGATCAACTATTCACATCTTCACCATTAGGTATATTGTGTATAAACTGCCTAATGTGAAAGATGGTGGACTGTCGTATTTGTACATGGATGAGAGCACCGGTGGATGGGAACTCAGCAAGGAGAAAATCGACAGTGAAACTGGCTTTCTAGGAAAAACACTGAAACCTCTTCTTGACTTCTACACCAAAAAGGTGAGATTTTATTTAAAAAAGAAAAGGAAAAAAACAATGTATAAAATCAGCTTTTAAAGGACATTTTTTTTTATTTCTCTTCTCTTATTTAATGGTCAGACTGAAGGGTTTGGATACCTGCTCTACAATGATCAGCCTCCAAAGCCATACTCTGCTCCTTCATCATTCGGTCACAGTAAAGGTGGGCCCAATACTTTTCAACCAAATTCCACACAAAGTACAGGTAGGCTCTCAAATTAACTCATTGATTTTATCTCCTTCAGGGGTTGTGATGTTGGATCGCAGCTTTGGACTTTGGCTTTCACACAGCACACCCAAATTTCCAACATATCGCAGTACAGAGTTCTGGCCAAGCAGTGGAAATGCAAATGCTCAAACATTTCTTTGTGTTACTTTCCCCTACCAGCAGTTTAAAGAAATAGGTAAGTTACTAGAGAAGCTTTCTGGAGTTGCACACTAGATAAAAAAAAAAAATTAAAAAGTATTAAAATATTTTTAATTATATCATTTAAATCCTCAGGACTGCAGCTCAAGTACATCCATGCCTATTCATTTGACTCTGAAATTCCAAAAACTTTCCCTAAGGAGCTGCATTGTGTTGCACAGAGAAGCTGCTACCCAACACAAAAGCCCTGGTTTAGTGTGGAGAGGCTGAGATCAGCAGCAGGGAGCACTTTCACCAGCTTTGCAAAATACTCACGATTTAAAGATGGTGAGTTTTGGCACTGATCCACGAAATGTTTTTTTTTTTTTTTTTTTTTTGTTAATAATTAAGAAAACATCTGAAGTCTGTTGCCTAAAACTGATAATGATCTATGTTCTGTTACATCCTAGACCTTTACTCTGGTCTCATAGTGAACAAAGTGTCCAACGATCTTTTTGTGAAGAGCTGGGGGAAGCTGAGTAAACCTCTGTCCTCCAACTGCAGTTCAATGCTCAGTCATCATGTCTACAACGTAAAGGAAGTGCAGCTGCAGAAGAGGAAGGCCATCAGTGACACTGTGGATCACTCCAAGTGGTGTGTGACTTCAGACGGTGGCTGGACCTGCATCGCTGATATGAACAGGGAGGTCAGTCAGATGAGCAGAGGAGGAGGAGCAATCTGCACTGAAGATCCACGAGTGGGACAAGCTTTCAGGTCACTTTTCTCAGACCATGAACCGTGTAAAAAGTCTCATTCCAAGGCTCATAAGAGAGAACTGTAAACGCTGACAGTCATGAAAATGAACTGTTTTTCCACAAATGAGCATTGTTACACCAGGGGAGCAAAAGTGACTTGTGTGAAATAGATGTAAGAATGTATGAAATCACTTATATTCTAATTTTTACAAGGACGACTTTTTTGTATTTCTGTTTGTGTTATCAGAATCTGAAATGGTATTAAAGGGAGTCTGGATTTTACTAAATATAATTTGGGGATAATGACAGGGTAATTATGTTTGCTTACTAAGAATTCAATATTTATTAATATGAATATTATGGTTTTGTCTCTTTATAGTGTAACAAGCAATAAGATATTTGTGCAGTATGTTATATTGTATAGACAAACTGGAGATGAAAGGGAGGACCAGTAGATACTTCATCTGGATTCTTTACAAAAAAGTATGTAATCACATCAAATGTATCTCATTCAAATGCTGTGTTTAATAAGATTTTTTTTCTGTAATGTTGTATTATTTAAAGCCAAAAATTAATTGCAGAACATTAAACATGTTGATCCAAAAATAACTCTGCAGAATTAAGAGCAATAATATTAAAGGAAGCATGATAGTGACTTTATAATGGAGGATCTACTTTTTTTTTTAAAGTGATTTTGATATTTTGGGATTTTATTTAAACAATTGTACAGCTGGATTTAGATAAGTACGTTGTTTTTAAATAAAAGATTTCATATTACAGATCTGAATGATCAGATTCCTTACTTTAAATATATGAATTAAAGAGTTTTTATTGTATGATCATGATTTTCCTGTCAAAATTATGACTTGAAAACTGACACTATAATTTGGAACTCAGTGTATAATTTTGAAAGTCAGAATTGTGACATTAAAGTCAAAATTATAAATTTAAGTCAAATGTGTGACTTTTTAATTTCATCACAAATGCGCAAATCAAATGCGCGTCATTAAAATGTGGCTGTTTTGCATAAGGTTTTCAGACCTTCTCAACAGCAATGAGTGAGAAAGGCAGTACACCTCCTCACCACTAGAGGTCCCCCTCTTTTATCGCTAAAGTTTAATCTATTCACCTCTCATTCCAGGAAGTGAACGCAGTCGAACAGACGGCTTGTAAACACGTGAGATAATAACTCAAAACAGACCGCTGACATACGAAAGATGGATGTTACAGAAGTTCCCACGGATCAGGGCAGCAAGAGCAAGATGAAGAAGAAGTCAATGAAAGCAAAGACGAAGGTTAAAAACACGGAGGTGAAGGAAGAGAGCAGCGCCGCGGAGAACCAGGCCGATCCGACGACTTCGTTCCCCGCCACGTTCAGTGTCTCCGAGATCAAGAACAAACAGCGGAGACACCTCATGTTCATGAAGCTCAAGCAGGAGAAGAGGAAGGTAAACAGAGCCTTCAGGGTCAAACTGTCCTCTGTACTACAGAAGAGTTAAAGTTTCTTTATTTGAAAAGTCACCCAGTGCATTATCATACTGTTAACGCATCCACCTGTTAAAATGGAGTGTTGGAAATAACATGGATATTTCTGACTTTTAGCAAAAACTTCAACTGAAGAAAAAGAGGAGAAAAGAAAGGGAAGCATTAGGCGACAAGGTGAGTGTTTATTGTTTTTTTCCCCTTTCTTACATGTTGTTAGCTTAAGTTGTAATCCAAGTGAGTGCATTCTTGTTTATTTTTTCATACCAGTCATTCACCCCATTTTAATCTTTTTCCAACTTAGGCGCCACCAAAGGAGGTCCCCAAAACGATAGAAAACCAGAGAGTGTTTGATGAGACAACAGTTGATCCAGAAGACGAAGAGGTTTGGATTTTGTTGTTTTGGTCTTTCTGTATGTATGTCTTTATTTTAACAAACATTCTTTGTTTTGTTCATTTTGCTCATCACCAGGTTGCTTTTGATGAGGGAACTGATGAATTTTCAGCATATTTCAACGGGTTGACAAATCCCAAAGTGCTCATCACTACATCAGACAGACCCAGAGGGGTGAGTGGCTGCAGTTGTTGTAAGAGTTTTACTAGTTTTGAATGGATTTTTTTTTTATTTCTTTGAATTACAAGCCATTAGTAGTTTCGGGATTATTTGCTATTTTAATTCAGAGCTAGTTTTAAAAAAAAGAAATGATATATGTGATGTCATGCCATCTGTAAGGTTGCATAGTGAAATTAATGTTGAAGAATGCAACAATAGTATTTTATTTACGTAGAATGTAACCCTTTTGATTAAAGATAGAAATTACTGTAAAATTTAGGTCGTGTAGTTTAAATTTTAGAATCATATACGTCAACCTCATGAATTGTGTCATTTGTGTCTTGCAGAGAACAGTGAGGTTTTGCGAGCAGCTGGCCAGCGTCATCCCAAACGCCCATGTTTACTACAGAAGAGGCCTCGCCCTAAAGAGGATCATTCCCCAGTGTGTTGCCAGGGACTTCACATACATGATGGTCATCAACCAGGATCGCCTAATGCCCAGTATCCTGACTTCAAAAAGCACTTGACATGAGGAAATTCGTTTAGATACATTCAGTTTTTGTTCCCACTTGAATCGTTGACTGTTACACCTCTGGCTACACAAACTGTTCTAAATTTATCCTCATCACCATATATGTGTCCAAAGAATCCAAGCTCAAAGAATTTACTAGAATGAATATTTATAGAAATGTTACCATCTGGGTTCTGGGATTGCAAGAAACCCAAAGCAGACTGGGATAAAGTTTTTTTTTTTTTTTTTTTTTTTTTTCATTTCTGTTTTGTCTAACAGTTTATTCCTTAACAGTTATTTTCAGACGGTTTGGTTCTCTGTCACCTTCCTGACGGGCCAACTGCGCACTTCAAAGTCAGCAGCGTTCGACTAAGAAAAGAGATAAAGGCAAGTCAAATAAATGTATCCCTAATATTAATGCCTTTTGGGGGTACAATTCTGAATTCTCATCTCCCAAAACCTGCATCGGGTTTCCTACACAGATTAAGAATAGGCTAGAATTTCATTCAATTAGTTTCCATGCCTGGATAATTATGGAAAAATATTTGATTTTAGTAGTTTTTATCTGTCCAACTGATTAAATCTGTCATTGATCCATCAACCTTCCAATGCATCTGTCTGTCGGTCAGTCAGAGAGTAAGTCGATCCGTCAAATCAGACGCAAGATAAATTCCACGTGAATTTTTACAAATTGGGCTTTAATAATTGGATAAAAATGGTTAAAAACTCTGAAAATTTTACTTGAAAATGTGCATAAACCCTGTGTTCTTGTGCTTCCTTGCTCTTTCCCAAGTTAAATCCCATTTCTACTAGTCGCTGAAGACAAACCTCAGCTCTCATACTGATGCACCGCTGTCCTGTTTCCTGTTTTCAGAGGCGAGGTAAAGAGCCAACCGAACATTATCCAGAGGTGATTCTCAACAACTTCACCACCCGCCTCGGACACAGCATTGGTCGTCTGTTCGCCGCTCTGTTCCCACAGAACCCTCAGTTTGTGGGTCGACAGGTCGCCACCTTCCACAACCAGAGAGACTTCATCTTTTTCAGATTCCACAGGTAAGTGTTCAAGCTTAATCAGGAAGACATCCTTCCGTTTACAGGAATCTTCAAATTCAGATGTATTTTGTGGAGTTGCATTTTAAACCACATGATTTGGGCAAATATTTTGTTTCCTTCCTTGCTTCCAGTCTTAACCTTACTGACTTCTTCAGATTATGCTTTTCCGCATGATGTTTTTTTTTTTATATTAATTTTGTGAATTGCACCAGTCCTTCCTGCTGAAAAATAACCACACACCATGATGCAGCCATCCATCCATTTCAAAGTTGGGATGTTGTTCTCAGCCGTGCAGGCGCCCCCTTTTTTTCTCATAAGTTAGTGGTTGATGGACATTACTTCATCTCCTGTTGGAGTGCAGAGTGGACTTGTAGCTCATGTTGATACACGACATGTTTCACTGCGGATGGTGACGTTCTCTGACCTGCATCTTCACAAGGTCTTTCGTTTTTTTTCTGCGATTGATGTGGACATTTCACAACTAAACACGTTCCTCTCTGAGATGTTGCTTCAATTTTTTTTGCTATTGTGACGTTCACCAGTCCCAGTGGCTGAAAAACACCAACACATGATGCTGCCACCACTGCACTACGCAGTTTGGTGTCCTCAGGCTTGAAAGCCTCGTCCTTTATCCTCCAAATGCAACAATTGTAATGCCTCCATTTCAGAGGACAGGACATGTCTTCAGAAACGAACGTCTTTGTCCTCTCGTGCATTGACAAACCTTTTTATGTTGCTTTTAAGAGTAATTGTTTCTTCCTCTCTGAGTGGCCTATCAGCCATGTTGGAATAAAACCAAGAGAATCTCATCATATTCAAAAGATCTTTTGTTTTTGTGGAAAGAAATGATTATGTCTCTCTTTTTTTTAAGTAGACGTCATTAATCAGGGCAAAATCTTTACTGCCGACACTTAGTGAATTTGGTCTTGGCTTTAGCATATTTTCTTTAAAGCTGCTTACTTCCCAAGAGACTTTAGAGTGAGACTTTTCAAAGTTAGATGTAGGTGAAGGTCCTTTAGGAAAGTCTTTACACACATCAGGTTGTCTCTCTTTTCATGACTTTCCAGCTGCTTCCAGGGCTGGAGTTTTCAACCTGTCATAGGGTGTGTGATTATTTTACCTATCAACAAGTAAAATGACCATAAATTACAAAAAAACTGGAGTCATGGTCAAATTGCCTAATTTATTTTAAATGAGGTCAAATAAATTAATTATGGTATTTCTGTAAGGTATATCTTCAAGAACGAGAAGAAAGTTGGCATTCAGGAGCTGGGACCTCGGTTCACTCTGAAACTCCGATCTCTGCAGAAGGGCACGTTCGACTCCAAGTATGGAGAGTACGAATGGGTGCTGAAGGTGAGTCTGTTTAATAGAAAAAGGAGCTTTAATTGACTTTTTCATATCAACTGGATTTGTTTGCTTAAATCTGCTGCTACAATCTATTATGGTATTTCAGGATTTTAATGAGATGCTACCTGGAGCATCTCTGTGGTTTTATTTCTTACTTTGACACAAACATATTTTCATCTTTCAGCGCCACGAGATGGATGCCTGCAGAAGGAAGTTCCAGCTTTGAGTTGGAGGTTTATTGGTCAAAGATCCCGGCCTAATGTCCTGCAAATATTTATGGACTTGCACAAATTTGCTTCATAGTCTCTCATTCTTTTTGAAGGAAACCCGCGTTAGCTGTACAAAGATCCAGATGCAGCTTTCAGTGATGAGGTGATGCTATGTAGTCTGGTAACAGTTTTTGTATAAACATATATTCTTTTCTTTAGTTATTACCTGAAGATGAGTTTGAGACTGCAGAGAGTTGAGCTAAAGTGAGAGAAAGTAGGAGACGAATTCATTTCTTCAGACTTGCCTCCGAGTGATAACGTCAACACAAAATGTGCATCTTTCTTTTTTAACCATGTTTGTCTGGGTCAAGATTGACACATTTTCAAGTTTAACTATGTAAAAAGTACAATTTATATTTTATTGGAAGAGGGTATGTGTTATCCCTAGAAGCAGGCATTTTGACACAAAATAAACTTTCAATAATTCAGTCTGTTCTGAAGGTCTGTAAATGAAAAGAATCAGTTACGGTGCTTTTCTGCACAGAAAAGCTGGGTGTTGCTCTATGGACTAAATAAGGCTCAACATTTTATATATACTCGTCCTCCACCAAACCGAGGAAACTCATTTCAGTTGGTTGGGTCTTGTTTCGGATTAAGATCATGTAGATAAAGGCATCATAGACACAGCAATGTTTGGCATGCCAACATTAACACATTACAAGTGTTACAAAAAAAAAAAAACATTGAGTAAAATGATGAATACTAAAACTTAGCAAAGATAAAATTGAAAGTTACTTTGACATATTCCAGGGAAAAAGGGGGAGGCTTCAGTAGTATTAGACATTTATTGTAGATAGAAATGCAGATTAAACTAAAGAATTTAGACTGAGTCACAATGAACAGAAAAACCCTCCACTTTAAGGGAAGTTTCTAAAACAAGTCTGAGCATGATGAATTGTCTTCACCTTCATGCAGCGTCTTCCAGTGTAACCGACAGAATAGCGATAACATCTCACCAGGACTTGCATTTCTAAAGAAGTATTTTTCTTCAAAGTCTGACAAATGAGGACATTGGACAACAGCTTCAAACTCCACATGAGGGATAAACACTTTGAGACAGCGGACTACTCCAGAAAATTGGTTGGGTTCATATTGCTGCAGTAACTGGGCCGGAGTTTATTTTATAAGCGTTTTCTCCAATCTGACTTCATAGAAAAGATCACAGATAAGCCAGTTTTACCCCCAGTAAACTAATATCTCAGAAGATTTACCATGTAAATGATATCAAGATGTATTTGCAAGAACAACTCGCTTTAAGGTTTAGGTTGTCTGTTCTGTGCAAGAGCTTTGAGTTGGATAAAATGTCTTAAGAACATGAAGCTGTATGTCTAAAATGTGGAAATAGTTCAGTTTTATTGAGGCAAGAAACATTTACATTTCATAAGGCACATGTGTTAGTTCTACGCAGGAAGGCTGGGGCATTTCTAATGCACCCAAGAAGGAAAATGTGTAATTTATTTTTAAAGGAAGGTTAAAGTTTAAAAAGGCTCAAGTTAAAATTCCTGGCCCAAATTCCCAAAGACTCCTGAGATGATTCCAGTCCATTTTGCAGGATTCTGCAGCTCACCCCAAATTAGGCATGTAATCCAAAACCTGGAGAAAAACAACATATTAGTAAAACATACAATGTTTAAACAAATGAGACGCATAGCAAACACTCTAAATAAACTTCAAATTGATTAACCCTTCTATGAGATAACTAAATGGAGCACCATCACACATTTTGGCATCTTTCCGTTTTAAAATCCTCCAACAGACTACCTTTTTATTTAGTTTTGTACATAATTATAGTCTTCATATTTTATTTATAGTCTTAAATAGCTCATCTACTTTTTCAGGTCCAGTATTTTGGTAAAAGTAGTTAATTTCAAAAGGTGATTTATTAATAAATAACTTTGCATTTCAGGAAAAACTCATTCAACATGGATTTGAGTAAAGAGTTTAACAAATAGTAAATATAATTTTATAATTCAATTTTAGAAATTAAACTTAATTTATAAACGGGTTTTTTTATTATTTTAAACCTTTTATTTCAATGCCACTTTAAAAACAGAGCTGAACCAAAGTGCAACACAGAAAATGAAAATAGTAAAAAGAATCTTAAGAATAATAAAAATTCGAAAGACATTTGTAAATACAAAAACTTTTAATAATAGTAATTATGTGGTTTATTTTAAAAAAAAAAGGATGCCAAAGAGAAAGCGTTGACTCTTTAAAGCGGCTTAGAGGAAGTTTTTGCTTGAATCAAAACTAACAGTAATACAACTGGCTGCCATAAAATCAACTCCTGTGAGCGTCCATTGAAAATCTTGAGCTGATAAAGTATATGTTCGTACTCACAGTGGTCGCCTGGCCCGTCAGTACTATAGGAAGGAGCAGACTTTCTGCGGTCTGAACGGGTTGTTGCTGGAAGACATGCCGGTGAGCAGGGGGTCCTGCTGGGCGTTCTGGAGGCAAAACTGCTGGAGGTCCGCTGCGGCCTGCGAGACCTGGAGAAAACAAGTTTAAAATGTAATAAACTGTTTATGCTAAACGAATAGAGCTCCCGAAACCTCACCACAACCCAGACTATTTCGACAAAAAACAGCTACATTACAGAAACACCGAAATGACCGAGAAAGACACACGCCCTAAGAGCGACTAAATGTATAAAACTTACCTTAACTCTGTTTATACCCGCTTCAAAGCGCAACTGTTGAACGACTTTCTTCATAGCGACAATGTTGGAAGGTCCCGGCATAACTGCGATCTGGAATGGCTACGATATTCAAAATAATAAGTGTGGAAAAGTTTACGCAAGCTAGTCGACGCTAGTAGCGACAAAGCTAACTTTTTTCTTCTTCCAAAGGAATAAGCTTCCGGTTTTTTTAAAGGCGTGCCCGCTATTGCTGCATTCACGTGTTGTCTGGAAATAATGTACGTTTTCAGATGTTTTCACTGTACTACTTATCTGGTAATTTTAAATTAAACATATATACTTGGTGTATTACATGTTTGACAGTTTTGGTTTGTTAACAAATATTAGTGGAATAAAATTAGCCATGCTTTATGTTAACTTTATGTTTAAAATCCCTGTAGATTGAATATTATTAGAGTTAGTTTTGCTATATTACACATAATGCCAAGCATTATATAACATAAAATCTGCTCTAAATATTGCTTTTAATTACAAAACGATTCATATTTGAAAGTTTTATAAGAAACAGTTTGCATAGTAATGCTCAATCCCACAGCACTTAAATATTACAACAAAAAAAAATCTGAGCCCCCTAGTGGTGAAGATGCATTTGCTGATTCAAAAGTGCAAGGATTAAAGGGAAAAATCATAACAAAATTGTATTATTTGAAAATGAAGGGAACTCTTTCATCTTATATGTTCCTAATTGTTGTTTTATTTTATTTTTTTCCACATGCTGCTCTGTCATCCCGAGCATCCAGGGCTGGCACTCTCATAAAAGAAACACAGTTGGATGGCTGAGTGTGTTTAATTGCAGCAGGTTGTTTCCTGGCAGTCTGGAGCAGTCACAGCGCACGCAAACACAACTCTTTCGTAGCAAATACTCCTAGATTTCTGTAGTTCAGTATTTTACTGCGATTCTTTCTCTGAACCAGTCTGATAATGGAGTTGTCTTGTGAATCAGTGAGATTTACAGAGGACAGCATGAGACCGGCCAGCAGGAAGGTAAATGCTAAATCTCTTGACATGATATAAAAATGTAAGCAGATGTCAGTGGCTGTAAACTTCATTGTTAATTTTATTTATGTGTAGTTTTTGGAGCTCCATGTGCTGTTTGTGCCAGCTGATCAGTGGGACATGAAACTCAATAAAGTCCCAGCTGAAGCTACTGAGAGCTTTGTTTCTGCCGGCTTCATCAGGTAAAAGTGCTTGAAATGTTTAATTTCTATTATCAATCAAATGATAACAGTTTGTCTCAAACAGAGGCGTGATTATTGAAGCCATATTTGGCTCCTTGCAGAAGTATTTATTGAACTGTTTCATATTTTATAGCAGAACAAGTTTTAAGGCATTTAGTGGGATTTTGCTAACTGGACTATAAAGTGCTCCATTATAGTGATGTGGATTCACCTTAAATTTTAGTAAAATATATAGAAGTTTTAATTAGAAAAAAATTAGAAAAAAAAAAACATTGAGCAATTTGAATGCCTTTACACTGCTCTGTTAATTACAGAAATAATAATTAAAAACAACAATCTTTCACGGGCATTTCAGATGTTCAATATTCTACATTTATTTCATATGTAATGTTCTGTTAAGTAAAAAAAGACTTAAGGTAATTAAAATATAAATTTTCTGATAACTTGGAAATTAGAGAAAACAATAAAATATGTTATGAGTGTAACATTGACTCTATTTTAAAATAAAACATTTTTACTATTGTTAAGTTGATCTTTGCTGCCATGAAAATAATAGTTTTTATTATTAACTATTAACCAGTCAATATTAGCCTATGAAAAACTGCTAAAACATTCATTCAACTCAGCAATGATTTAACAATTTTACTAAACCCCTTGACTGGTGCACATATTGTGTCGTCGTTCCTGGTGACATTAGGGTTTATCCTGAAACCACCCTGCAGACTCTGAGGGGTGAGCTGGCTGCTCTGCTTGGCACTGAGAGGAGCATCCATAAATTCTCCTTCCTGAAATGCGTGGGCCGCAGTCTGGCGCTGGTGAGTGCAGCTGACAGTTAAGAGGCCTTTTGTAGGGCTGATCGTTTCACTGCGCAGACAGTGCCCCATTCAGAATGAATACACTGAAGGCTATAAAGGCTGTGAATGGGGAGCATAGCAGCTTTACTGCTGCGCTTCTCACACTGTAGTTCTTGTTTTTCACAGGTCAAAGGGAAACAGGAGACAAATCTGAAAGTGAAAACATTCGCCCCCCCGTATGTACGTTGAGTCCACGGGTCTTATTTCCATCCTGATAAGTTTGTTGGTTTCTTCCTTGAAATAACTGCGTTTGCCTGGTCCCTGAAATGAGCCGTTGTAACCTGTCGGCAGGCGGCTGAGCCGGAGCTCTACCTTCTGCCCACAGGAGAGGCAGACGGCACTTTCTGCTCTCAGTCCTTCACCGTGGATTCCAGCAGCAGCTCCCCAGAGCAACAGGTCTGTCTCCACCCTCCCAAGATGTGCAGCGTGGCAACAGGGACAAAGAAGGCCATTAAATTCCCCCACGTCCCCCAGTGTTCCCAGCAACCAGTTCCTGTCTCTGTGCTGGAAGAGGAACATGAGGATAAAGAAGAGGAAAGCAGCTGCAGCTCGTCCTCAGAGGATGAAGCTCCAGGCTTCATCAGGAGAACAGAGCCGGAGAGTTTTGCAGGGAAACCTCAGAGTCAAAGGGTCCTAAAGCTGATAGCACTTAGAAAAGGTATTAAAGCAGTCATTCATAGCATATTATCAACAAGAGTTTATACAGTTGTACTGTATAAACTGTATAAACACATTAATTTACACTCATCTGGCTGCAATGTTCATTTTTAGGTTTGTTAGATGACTTATAGTTTGGTTAACAACAAAAATACTTAATTTTATAATCTACTAATAGAGTGTTTTTCATGTTTTAGCTCATTAACAAAGTGGCATTCTTTAAAGAAAATAAACATTTACTTTTTGTATGTCTACAGCTTTAGAGATATGTGAAGCTAATTCAGCTCAGACGATTTGGTCAGCAGACAAAGAGGAGACCTGCCGAAAGACAATAAGTCAACCCAAAGACAGACATTCAGGAGCAGCTGAGTCTCTGGAGGACCACAGTTTAGGCGTTTTGCTGACAGACAGGTACCAGATGTGTCACACTTGCAAGACTCCATCTTTTTCCTCCAAATGTAACAACGGTCATTATCGCCAAATGTTTCAATTTTAGTTTTATCAGACCACAGGAAATGTTCCCAAAATTAAGGTTTCTGTTGCTGAGTCTATAGTGGCAAACTGTAATCTGTGGAATATACACTCAAATAACACATCCTAGATCTGAATGAATGAAATATTCTCATTGAATACTTTGTTCTGTACAAAGTTGAATGTGCTGACAACAAAATCACACAAAAATCATCAATGGAAATCAAATTTATTAACCAATGGAGGCCTGGATTTGGAGCCGCACACAAAATTAAAGTGAAATGTTCCCTTTATTTTTTTGAGCACTATATATATTTTCTTTACAGAAGAGAAATGCATGAGGTTCTTGTTTTTGTGACTGTACTTCTATGTTTTAGTGTTGGAAACTCTGAGTGCAAAGATCCACACAGAGAGAAGACCACCAGAAATAAGCCAACAAATGGGGTAATATGCAGCCATTGTGAGACTTCTTTAAAAATATATAAACATTTCTGTTTCAGTCAGTATTTATACTGCATCTAAATTTGTTGGTGTTTCAGATGCTGGAAAGTCCAGCCATGTTGTCGCAACCTATTCAGTGCACAGCTTCACCCCGAGGTCCAGACTCGGCTTCCAATGACGCAGTTTCCACTTCGCTAGATTTTCTCTCCAACAGTAAGGAATGGTCAGATTGTTTGAGCCAAATTCTTATGCTTGGTAATTGAACATATTTTGTACTTGTAAGGAGAGGCACTACTGGAGGAAATCAAAATGGTGAGAGAGGAGAGGAAGCAGCTGGAGTGGACAAGACAGCAGCTTTTGAGAAAGGGAAAAGACTTGTTGGCTCAGAATCGACACCGCAGGAACCAAGGTGGGATATCAACATCTAAGTGGAAACAAAGTCAGACTGAGTACAAAAAAAAATAACAACAAAAAAAAACAGTTCAATTTCTTTCCCTACTCCACTAATATAAAGCACGAGACAGCTGGAAAAAGAAATATTTTGAAACCAAGAAGACCACCGCACCATTGGAGGAGCATCTGAGAAACCTGAGGCAGGAACTGGAGCTATTTCACAACAAAGTCCTGCATCAGCTTCAAGCCAGAGAGAAAGCAAGGAGACAGGGGAGGTCCTCTGAGAAGGTCCAGTAAAATCACATATGCCTTGTTGCGCCACATAGTTAACATTATCACGCATATTCGGAACAGATTCAATTAAATTAACAACTTTAATAGGAGTACAACACAAAACAACCTAGTCGGGTGACTTTGAATGGTCATATAAGGAGCATGAAGTCCAGGATATCAAAGGAAGTTGTTGTCATCTTAATATTTAACCATACACCAGTGACATGAATTGACATTACCAACCTTTATCAAAAAAAACATTCAAAATTATTAGAACATAAACAGGGGGCAACAGTGAAAGTGATAGGAGTTGGTCTCGCTGTTGGTGGGTTGCTGGTTCAAACCCCGACTCTGTCAGTCTCAGTCATTGTGCCTGCTGCCAGTGTTCAGACGGCAGCTGTGGCTACTAGCCAATAGCTTATCAGCCTGGGAATGACTGAACAAAGGGTGAAGTGCGTTAGGGCACCACTGGACAAGTGCAGGCCATTTACTGTAAGCAGTTAAAATTATGCGAATAAAAAATTGATGGAAGATTTAACAAATTTGAGATGCAATTTTTTGCTTAGTATAACAAATCTGGACATATGTTACATGTTTTAAAGGGGTGATTTTGTGTATTTTCCAGACACCTAATGTCTTTTTATAGCACCATCAAGTAACCATTACCTGCAGTTATAAAAATACTGAACATACACACCTTCCTGCTTTTATTTTCAAACTAGAAAATGATGAAACTCAAACAGGTAACTTTACTAAACCTGTCGTCTTTATGTGTGGGTTTTTGGAGATCAGGATATCTTATTATACAAAGAATATATTGAGGTGGATTGTTGCATGCTACTAAACATACAGATTATTTTTTTGTTCATCACAATGAAACATTCCCTGTAAACAAATTAACCCAAGAGCAATATTTCAGAATGAGCTCATCATCCAGATCATGAAGGAGAGCTATGAGGTCGACAACCTTAGGAGGAAAGTAGAAGATGCCAAGATGAAGCTGATAACAGAGACAAAGGTAACAATCAGTCCAGTCTCAGTGAAACAGGTGACTGGTTGGCTTCATTTCTGATATTCTGGATAAAAAGCCTAGCAGACCTGGAATTGACTGTAAAACAAAATGTGTTTTTTTTGTTTTGTTTTTTTCCCTACAAGTTGAGGAAGCAGGCTGCTACTGAGCTCAGAGACCTGAAGACCGAACTTGCCCAAAAAAAGAATCAGTCATCTCCTTCCTGGATGGACTGGAAACACAACATGGGACAAAGCACAAGTTTAAAGCAGCTTCTTCATCGACGTCAAGAGGACTGCTCTTCCTAGTCTTTAAACATGAACTAACCTGCCAACTAGTTAGTACTTGTAAGAACTGGGTAACACTGTGCGTTTTTTCTACAATAATGTAGCACCAGGGAGTCCACTAGATCGATTAGTAAAAGCTTTATTAAAGAACAAAGTAAAAAAAAAGATCACAGTTCTTGGAATGGTAATCAAAAATCAGTGCAAATGCGATTAAAACGATTGTCTTTGTTACTGAATCATAATTCATTGCATCTAAAGTAAAAAAAGCAACATGCAAGTAAGCATCCCTGAAGTTGAACAGAGGCCACGCCCAGTTACAACTATAAACGAAGATGTTTGGAAACCAACGGGAGCGAGCTCAGCAGCTCAGTCAGAAGCTCCTGCTGGAGCATTCGGTTCATCCCAGTTTGGATCCTAACAGGGCATTCCACATCAGCGCGGTCTGCTGCCTGGCTACAGGATCGTCGCTGTAGTCCAAAATGTTGCCGTTCCACATGCCGATGCCTCTCAGGCCTTTGGACATGACGTAGTCCGCTTTGGGGGACAGACTCTGCGGGTCATCGTACCAAACCTGATGGGACTGTCCTGTCTCATCCTGAATTAAGCAGTGAAACAAAGAATAAAATAGAAAAAAAATTTCATTTTTTTTCCTGTTTGTTTGAATGCATTGTTTTAGGAGTAAAAAATACGACACCTTGTAATAGAAGTAAGGAGCTTTTTGCTCATCATCCCAGAGTCTGCCGGACGACGTTGGGCTGTTGAGCTGCTTCATGATCCATTTGTATGATTTTTGTTTTCCCGCTGCATCGCTGCAAGGAGCTCCACGGAACGGGACTTTAGGTATGTAACAAATGCCCTCCTTGGATAAAACAGAAAATAAAAAGAGAAGTGTTTTATTTTGTTGGTTAATAGGCAGGTTTTACACAGGATTTGCCAAGATACAAAAAGAAGGAAACAGTAAAACCCACGTCACCCACAGTTTTTAAGAAAAAATATTGTGATTTTGTGTTCTATGATTGAAAGTCAAGCCTATTAATATAAGGGAGCAAGTCTTATCATTGTTGACTAATAATAATAATAATAATAAGAAAACTAACAGTGCTCAAATTGTGTATTTAATGTGTAATGCATGTTGTATTTTAAGAAGAATTTTAAATAAAATCAAATAAAAAAAAGCACTGCATTTAAAACTTTCTAGAAAAAAAATATCAGATTATATTGAGCCAGTACCGTGTTTAACATTTTAGGTCAAGATTGGAATAAAAGACTTTATTTTTAAATGATATTTTTTATTTTCTGTTATTAACTGAAGGCAGCTTTAAAAGGATGCCACAGTACTATGAAATATTTCACGCCTGATAGTCCTCACCATAATTGGTTGATCATTAGCAGCAAATGTTCCTACTGAGACTTAGGACAGATCACTGATTAACTATTAAACTCTATTAGTGTGAAATGTGTGTGCTGATGTAAATAATTAGACCGATCTCTCTTGTGGTAAAGACAATTATTATTGATTGATTGATCTTTGAAGTAAAGTGTGCTGAATGAAAACAGAATTGTGAGCCCAGAACCATGTAATGGCAGGTGGTCTGCCACATGGTGGCAGCGCAGGGAAAGGTATTCCTTTTGTTGTGAACCCAAAGCATGACGATGTTTCCATTATGTTTCAGTGTTAAGAATGTATTTTCAGGATGATATGCAGTGTTATCAGAAGTAAAGTGTGCAACTTGTCATTAAAATACTGCCATACCTGAGAAAGGTTAACACATGGATAGTCATAGCCGTACCATGGTACTCCCATCAGCAGCTTATTTGAATGAATCTTCAGATCCAAATAGTCGTCATAGGCTAAAATGGACAGATAAAAATTATTTCCTTTGGTTCACATTAACAAGGTGACTGGTTCTCGATCCTAAACGTGCATCTGGACATGAGGACCTTTTCGAGTTTGGTTGAATGGGGCATTTGCCATTGCAATGCAGTCTCCGGTGATCTGGCTCTGCTCATCGTAGGACATCACAAACACCAGGTCACAGGATTTGGCGATGGTGACGTAATCATAGCAGCGCTTGTCGATACATTTTGGTGACCAGGCGACATCAAATGAAACCTAAAAATCAGGGGGGAAAAAAAGGAAACGGCAGGGGTAAGCTGGCCATTTTTCATTGTAATAGAAATGGAAAGGGTTCACCAGACACTGGTGAGCCATTGCTGTTCTACCTGAGAGCCTGGGATTTCCCTGTGGAAGGCCTCCGTCGTCTCATTGACCAGTGCTGTCAGAGCATAGTACTCTGGAGAGCCGTCTTCCACTGCTTGCTCAACGTCAATGTTAATCCCGTCCATGAACTGCTTCTTGGCCAAACTGACCTGCTCCGTTATCCATCTGGTCCTGTTGGCTTGGTCCACAATGTAGGGAATATGAACATCACCTATGTCGCCACCACAAAGGGACATGCAAAGATAAAGAGAACACGTCAATAAGCAAATATCAAAACATATTTGTATAAAGGAAACAAAAAAAAAACTGCTCTGAAACAATGAATGTTGATACAAGCATGAACTTTTGCAGACTATTAAGGCAAACCGGTGTAAACTCACTCACCTTTGAGGACAACTCGCGCTCCTTTGGAGTGAGCGAAACACATTAGCTCAGCGTCATAACTCCCAAAGGCGGCCACTGTCGTCACCATGCTCCAGTTGTAGGATTTCCATGTCTTTCCGCCCACATCAAACACAAACACCTAAAAGCAAAAACAAGTTATACTGACGATTATGATCGAGGTGTCTTGCAAACGAAAAACTAATAAGACAGCAAAACTAAATGCAGTTTCTTGAAAATTTAATACAATGCAATTCACTTCATTAACATAGTGTCAATTCACAACAAAACTCCTCTTTGCAACACAAGCAAACGCATCAAATGAATCTAAAACATAGCATAGCATACTGAGCAAACAAAATATTACAACCACTGAAAGAAAAAGAGCAAACTGTCAAAAGACTCTTATGGAAGAAAATTCAGCATTCTGACATTTAAAATGCAGCTTTTTGATATTTTTATCTAATTTTAGTGTTTTTTAGATGGAAAACTATTTTTTAGTTTAGTGTTCATCTCTACCTTTTTATCTTTTTTTCAGAATTCATTCTTATTCGTGCTTGTGAATGTTGTCTGAATAGGTCTGTTTTTAGAGTCAAAACAAATCATTTAAGAGGTTTCTCACATTTTAAATGTAAAGATCCCATATGTTCCTTCCCCTCATATTTCTTGAATTCACTATTCTTTATTAGAATACCATAAATTCACCAGATTTTATGGTAAATATTTTTTGCAGTGAGAGGATACAAGAATGAAAGAGACGCACAACTGAGACAATGGCACAAAAAATAAACTTTGCAAATTCTTGCATTTTCCCATGCTCAAGACAGACAGGAAACCTTAAAACACTGAACTGAATCTATATAATCAGATAAAACTTGAGTTAAACCACTCGGTGTGTTCACCGATACATGTTGAAAAGTTCACATTCCTGAGCCAATGTTAGCTGCAATGCAGAAAGACGGATGTTTAAAAAGAGGAACTTTATACATCCCACCATCTCAAAAATAACTTTAGCAACTAAACTCTCAACTTTTCTCACAAGATCTGTTGAGATTAGGATGCTGTTTACTACCCAAGTCACTGTGTTTTATCCAAGCTGCAGTATAAAGTCGTGTTTTATTAATGTGAACATCATAATCTGCAGATTTTTGCTTCAGGTACCCCGAGAAAAGGAATCCATTTTCTGAAAGCACAGAACTCCAGAAATCAGAGCAGAGAATTTAGTACCTACAGGCTTTAAATAATATTATTAACTGGAAGGTTTGGTTCAGAACATCATTCTCAAAAAGTCTTATTCCGTCATATAATTGTTAACTCGGAAAAACAGACTTGTTATTCCAGAAAGAATGTCAGTAATGGTACTTCGCGGGAGGTATGTTTGTTTTATATGCTGACAGAGTCCGCCGACAGCGTTACCTCAAACTCTCTCTCTCCCCGGATTGGCTGACAGAGCTCCGGCCTGTCACACGGACACACGCCGGAGCCGCTCACGACCAGCAGAACCGACAGAAACACAACGAACGGCAACATTGTGTTGGTCCAAAGCGAAACTGCAGCAGCTTGCGGTGAAGCTTGCTGATCATGTGAACTTTTGTACGGAGTACGAGATAGGACAAAACTCATCCTGTCGATAACATGTCAATTGAACATCGTGACTGACATAGATATATGTTCAGTAGCTTATATATGAACATACACTAACTATCAATGATTATTTGAGATATTGATTAACTCGTCTGGATTGGAAAACTAACTTTAAGCTGTGTGGGCTTTGTTTCTAAATTTCTACTTAATGAAGAAGCAGGGAGTCAATGACCAGTAAAAAGTAAACTATAACAAATGCAACAACATAGCCTACTTCTTTTCTCTTGCTGTATGGAGCATAGAGTTACACAGCACTGTTCCTCACTCACCTGTTGCTTCACACTGCTAGTCAGCTGGCTGAAAGCAGCTTTCAACTCTTTTTATTGCACACGTAAAGGACTTGTTTGGCTGTTTTGGTTAAATTGTTTTAAAAATTCAGCAAACAAGTTTTAAGTGGCATGTCGGTTAAGCAGGGTGGCCACATGAGCAAATTACCTGACTAATTAAACAACGTATCATAAAGTTATTTAAATGTGTACAATAAGAATGTTTACTTTAAAGGTACTGCTTCATCTTATGGGAATTTAGCTTTGTTGAATAATCAATATAACAATAAGTAAATATATATATATATATATATATCCACAAAAAATACTTATTAAAATATTGTTCGTCAATTTAAGTTTCTTGCATGAAATATTCAAGTGACATCTGATTCAGCAATAAAAATTACAATCCAAGAAACTTCGCCTGGCAGTGAGCCGAAATAGGAAACTATATCAAAAACAGATAATGTAAGGATAACTGAAACCTTGGTTCAATCCACTGTGCAGGTTTAGCATCTTCTCCCCTATAGTTTAGTATATTTACTTCACGCAGACACCAGAATGCAATGAATTGTAATGTAACATACTCTTCTTCCATTTAGTAAAAGTTTGACAGTGGATATTTGAAAGTATTTTTAAAAGCACAGTTGCAAAGCGGTGCAGTTGGCAGCACTGTTGCCTTGCAGCAAGAAGGTCCTGGGTTCAAATCCCAGCTGGGGATTTTCTGCATGTTCTCCCTGTACAGACTCCAAATACATGGCATGAAATTGTCATTCGGTATGAGTGAGTTGTTTGACCTGTGTGACTTGACCACTGGAGATAGGCACCTGTGACCCTTCAAGCATAAGTGGCAAAGAGTATGAATGGAAAAGTAAGTTTTTAAGAATAATAAACTCTTATAGGCTTATAATTTGAAGTTTATTATTTTACACAAGCTCTAAAGAGAAAATTTAATTTTTTTTTAAATTATTTATCAGAAATCTAGTATATTATTGACCAACTCTTCTGCTATCCCCAGATCATGACTTTTGACCCATGTTAGACAGTAACACTGATAAAATACAAGTTTTCATTCAAATCAGAATTCAAATCAGATTCAGCTTTTCTTTTTTTTTTGCCAGGTTTGTGCTCACAAACAAGGAATTTGACTTCTTTTCTGCTTTGCTCTCAGTGAAGACATTTAAAAATAGAAATATATATATAAAAGATTTTAATAAACTGAATCTTTCTTTCTTGTAATATGTTATATTGGGTTGGTTCAGCATGCTGAGTCTACAGTTTTTGACGTAGCTTTCCTGTATTCAGTTTCCACCTGAGTGCTCTTTGCTGCTTTACTAATTTCTCTGTCTACCTTTTGATGAATAAATGACAATATAGCCTAAAAAACCTTTCAAAAGAATGTACATATACAGTATTTTTATAGTAGTGGAAGTCAATCTTGAGTTAGTGCAGCTATGCAAATCAAAGAAAATAACACCAAAGTATCTGGGACAGAACAGAGAAGCCAAAAACACCAACGTACTGCTTGATTTCAGATATCTTTCTCTTTGGATAAATCATTAGGGTTTATATATTTTTGGAGTTTACCTACAAGTACTGTCATACATCCTCTGTTTGATACTCCTTAAACAGTTTATTAAGGAGAACCGCTGATGAAGGTTACTCAAATATTTTCGATTCCAGATAGAAAGCAAACAGCATAGTTTCACAATCTTGTCATTTATGACAAATGACAGGATTGTGAAAATATTGCAGGGTCAGGACAGTATGACACATCAATCAGTCAAAAGGTGGGATCAAGCTGCTCTGACAGCTCTGTACAAATCTTAATATTTATTGTCGTTAAACACATATAGAAGTACTTTTTGAGGTAAACACGCATTTATTACTTTAAATATGATTTGTTTTGCCAACCAATATGACAAATAAAAACTTTTAGCACATTTCTAATGAAACATGATAAAACACTGTCATTTAGGCAACTCTACATACCCAGAAATTATCTTTATTGCCTTTCTTCTGTTTAAAGGGTCAGATACTGACAGGATTTCAAATAAGTTCAGACATTTTCAGGACATCTTCTGATTAGCGTATTTACTCAGCCTTGTCGACATGATCAGGGCACAGTAACCACCGAGAGAAATGACAGCCAATATTTAGTTAATGTTTCATCAAATCTTGGCTTTAAAAGGAAACCGTTAGCTACAGACGTTCACAACCACCAACCATGAAGGTGATTGTGCTGGCTCTGACTGTGGCCTTTGTGGGTGAGTGTTGCTGTATGAACTAAACTTTAGTTAGTTTAGTTTGTTAATTTTAAACATATTCACATTCAAACACCATGATGCTTATTTAGATAACTATTTGTTTGAAAAGGAGATGAGCAGAAATATAAACTTTTTTGATCCCACCCCTTTTCTTTTATCAATAAATGTTGATAACGTTCCTCCAAATATTAAAAACGTAAATTCATATTATTTTAAAACAATAGTTTCAATAGCAGTGTATTCTTAAATAAGTTTAAATATCATCTCCTCTCAAAACAAACAGATAATAATTTTTAAAAAAATCATATTTTTCTAATGTTTTTCAGCTGGCAGTCAGATTAGCTATGGTAAGTTGCTTTCTAATAATACTAAAAATAAGAAAAGCAGCAAATCTTTAATTTTTTTTAAGATTTGGGTGATTTCTGCTTTTTGTTATAGCCCCAGAATTTGCAGCTGGAAAGACCTACGAGTACAAATATGAAGGATATCTTCTGGGAGGGCTGCCTGAGGAGGGCCTGGCAAGGGCAGGGGTGAAAATCCAGAGCAAAGTTTTGATCGGTGCAGCAGATCCTAACAGCTACATTTTGAAAGTAAAAACTGTTTCTCAATAATATTGCATTATATTATAACAAAACCTAATCTGTACAAAAATTTCAATCAATATCCAGGAGAGGCTGATGCTCATATGTTGCTTGTTCTTTCAGCTTGAAGACCCTGTGATCTCGGAGTACAGTGGTATCTGGCCCAAAGAGGTCTTCCACCCTGCCACAAAGCTCACCTCAGCTCTCTCTGCTCAGCTCTTGACACCTGTCAAGTTTGAGTATGCCAACGGTGTGATCGGTAAAGTGTACGCCCCGGCGGGCGTCTCTACATCTGTGCTGAATATCATCAGGGGAATCCTCAACATCTTTCAGATGAACATCAAGAAGACTCAGAATGTGTATGACCTGCAAGAGGTACTCAATGCTTGCTTTCGATAGGTCTATTCGGGCAAATGGTGAACCACCTATAATGTCTTCTTACTTTTATTTTCTTTAAAATAGACTGGAGTAAAAGGTGTGTGCAAGACATACTATGTCCTTAGTGAGGATCCGAAGGCTGAGCGCCTTCATTTGACAAAGACCACAGACTTCAATCACTGCTCAGAAAAAATCTACATGGATGTTGGCATGGCTGGTTATACAGAAAAATGTGCAGAGTGTGCGACTGTGAGTACAGTTTCCTCTTATCTGCTATAGTCTCTGTTGAGGAAATTAAACTGCTTGATTATTGATTTTGTGTCTTATGTCACTACAGCGGGGGAAAGGGTTTTCAGGAGCAATGTCTCTAAACTACGTCATGAAGCCCTTGACCTCTGGTTCCTTGATCTTAGAGGCCACTGCTACTGAGCTCCTCCAGTACTCCCCTTTCAAAATTGTGAACGGAGCTGTCCAGATGGAGGCAAAGTATGTGCTTTGAATTATGATGAAGCTCATCTCTGTGTGTTCAATTTTGGACAGCTGATTGAACTGATCTTAATCTACTTTCACAGGCAGAATGTGACCTTTGTTGATGTCAAGAACACCCCATTAGAGGCCACCAAAGCTGAGTACGTTCCCCGTGGATCACTGAAGTACGAGTTAGGTACTGAAGTCCTCCAGACACCAATTCAGCTTCTGAGGGTCACCAATGCTGAGGCTCAGGTACCTTTTGAAGTTCTTATTGACATTCTGTTTTTATTTATTCAATTTTGTACTTGAAAAGCATTTTGGGGGGGGATTGTTTTATAGATTGTTGAGACTCTGAACAACCTTGTGAGCCTCAATTTGGGCAAGGCCCATGAAGATTCTCCCCTGAAGTTTATTGAGCTCATCCAGCTTCTGCGTGTGGCCAGATATGAAAGCATTGAAGCTCTCTGGAGTCAATTCAAATCCAAAAACGATCATAGGTAAAGCCACTTTCACTGTTAGAGAATTAAAAGCCAAATATTCTTAAAGACAATTTGCTGAAGCAAATCTTTCCCAAGGCACTGGATGCTGAGCTCCATCCCTGCCATTGGTACACATGTTACTCTTAAGTTCATCAAGGAGAAGGTCATTGCTGGTGAAGTGACCGCTGCTGAAGCTGTTCAGGCCATCATGGCGTCCACACACTTGGTGACAGCCGACCTGGAGGCCATCAAGCTTCTGGAGGTAAATTGATGTTTAAATGTTTCATGTTTATTTCTAGTGGCACAGAAACAATCATATATGTAACCAGTTTTTATGTTTTACCATTCTAGGAACTGGTCAAGGCCCCTAAGGTTCAAGAAAATGCTGCTTTGCGTGAGGTCACCATGCTGGGCTTTGGCACCACGATTCACAAATACTGTGTGGAGAACCCATCATGTCCACCTGACCTTCTCAAGGTATGTATTGTCTGCATATTTCCAAAAACCAGTGTTCAGTTGCAAGATCAATAACTTCTATCGTTCTTTTGTTTATACTGCAGCCTATCCATGACATTATTGCCAGTGCTCTTGAGAGACGTGACAATAATGAGCTCTCCCTGGCTCTCAAAGTTCTGGGTAATGCAGGACATCCCAGCAGCCTGAAGCCGATCATGAAGCTGCTGCCTGGTTTCGGCAGCTCTGCCTCCAATCTTGAGCACAGAGTTCATGTTGATGCTGCTATGGCACTGAGAAAAATTGCAAAGAGAGAACCCAAGCTGGTGAGGCAAACCTTCTGACCACCCTACCTTACAAAATTATTCCTAAGGTTTAGGAATACTGTTCAGATGTATTAAGACAATTATCCCCTTTTTTTTTTTTTTGTTTAGATTCAGGACATAGCTATTCAGCTCTTCATGGATAGGGCTCTTGACTCAGAGCTCCGCATAATTTCTGCTATTGTGCTGTTTGAGACCAAACTGCCCTTGATTCTGGTGACCACTGTAGCTAAGAGCCTCCTGTCAGAACCAAACCTGCAGGTTGCTAGCTTTGTCTACTCTTACATGAAGGCTTTCACCAGGACCACCACCCCTGACCGTTCTTCTTTGTAAGAACCCTGTTGCACTATTATCTCATTAATGCGTCAGTGCAATAAACTGGAACGAAGAATTACTGATATTTGTTCTCTCTACAGAGCTGCTTCCTGCAATGTTGCCATCAGGATGCTCAACCCTAAGTTTGATAGACTATGCTTCCGCTACAGCCGAGCTTTCCTTTATGACCACTATTACAGTAAGAGTGTGCCAGAAAAATCACATTCTCTCAAGAGATTTTACTTACTAATAAATATTGAAATGCTTTTTTAATCTGTAGATCCTTGGATGATAGGAGCTGCTGCCAGCGCATTTTACATCAATGATGCTGCAACTGTGTTGCCAAGAAACGTCATGGCAAAAGCTCAAGTTTACATGTCTGGAGTGTTTGTTGATGTTCTGGAGGTATGATGATCATGTTTTAGACGTATCGTTAAAACCAAAGGGAATTGGTTTATGCAATAGAAGTGATCTTTGTGCTTAAGAATGACTCACGCTTTTTAATATTAACTTGTTGAAAAAGATTCATTTGAGAACTGGTTATAAATTAAAAAGCTTTTCCAATGCTACATTTTTACAGTTCGGAGCCAGATCTGAGGGAGTACAGGAGGCCCTTTTGAAAGTCCGTGAAGTTCCAGAGGATGCAGACAGGATCACCAAGATGAAGCAAGCTCTCAAGGCTGTAGGTTTACAAGATATTTACCTGCAAGAGAGTTTTTCATACTTCCATTTAAAAACAAAAAATTATCCTACAACTTTCTTCCTGTTGCAGCTAATTGAGTGGAGGGCCAATCCTTCCCGCAAGCCCCTTGGCTCTCTGTACGTGAAAGTTCTTGGACATGAAATCGCATTTGCAAACATCGACAAAGAAATGGTTGAAAGGATCATTGAGGTAGTGTTCCACAGAAATGTTTGCGTGCCTTCAATATCACATTCAAATAAAAATCTTAGTCTAAAAAGGATTTTATTTTTAATAGTTTGCAACCGGACCTGAAATCCGCACTTATGGCAAAAAGGCCTTGGATGCTCTGTTATCTGGTTACTCTCTGAAATACTCCAAGCCAATACTGGCTATTGAGGTCCGTCACATCTTCCCCAGCTCTCTCGGTTTACCCATGGAGCTGAGTCTCTACACTGCTGCTGTGGCAGCCGTATCTGTTGAGGGTAAGTTTCAGTGTTACAGTTCAACAACTGAGGGTTTGAGATGCATAATTACACTAAGAAATAACTTTTTAAAATACATTCTTCCTAGTACGAGCCGCCATTTCTCCACCACCTTCTGAGAACTTCCATCCTGTCCACCTCTTGAGGTCTGATGTTTCCCTAAAGGCTTCAGTCGCTCCGAGGTGAACCACCTGTCCTGAAAACAAGCATCTGGAGGATAACCTGCTTGTACCAGTTACGTTTTAATATTTCTGTATGTCTTTCTATTTCAGTGTGTCTTTGCACACCTATGCTGTTATGGGAGTAAATAATCCTTTCATTCAGGCTACTGTGATGTCAAGAGCCAAAGTACACACAGTTATTCCTAAAAAGATGGAGGCGAGAGTTGACATAGAAAAGGGCTACTTTAACTATAAGTTCCTGCCTGTAGAGGGTGTGAAAACAATCGCATCTGCTCGGTATGCACATTTTTTAATTCTCTGTAATCAACAAATCAAGTCCCTTTCTTATTTGGATTAAATGTTTGCTTTTTTTCCCGCTTCTTCTGTAAAAGTCTTGAAACAGTTGCCATTGCAAGAGATGTGGAAGACCTCGCAGCTGCCAGGATCACGGCAGTTGTCCCGTTAGACAATTTTAAGAGGAAGAACGCCACCTCAAGACTTTCACAGATCGTGGGTAGTGAAGTAAGTCTGAGTGAATGATCAATTCTCCGGAACATTTTTTTTTACCCTCCCTATGATCCTATGATTTGGGTTACTTGCTGTTTCTCTCTTTTTTTTTTTTTTTTTTTTTTAGGCAAATTCTGAGGAATTTCGTCCTCTTAAACGGAAAAGTCAGAGTGCCAGAAACAAGAAAATCCCCAAACCAGTTGTGAAGAAAATGTGCGCTACCACATACACGTTCGGAATACAGACCTGCATTGATATTAGGTCTCGCAATGCCACCTTCCTCAGAAACACCCCGATCTACGCCATAATTGGAAATCATACTCTTATGGTTAATGTCACCCCAGGCAAGTGAAACGGATGCACTGATGTTCTTAAATGAAGCCTTTTGAAAGGGTCAAACAACCAATCTATTTCATTTATTTTCATTTCAGCTGCTGGACCACCCATCGAAAGGATTGAAATTGAGGTTCAGATTGGTGAAAAGGCAGCAGAAAAGATCCTTAAAGCGGTTAACCTGAGTGAGGAGGACAAGATACTTGAGGACAAAAACGTCCTGATGAAGCTGAAGAAGATTTTGGTTCCTGGTCTGAAGAACAACACAAAGTCTTCATCCTCCAGCTCAAGCAGCTCTAGATCCAGCAGCTCTCCTTCAAGCAGCTCTAGCTCCAGCAGCTCTTGCTCTAGCAGCTCAAGTTCTAGCAGCTCACGTTCTAGCAGTTCTTCCTCACGCTCCTCCAAGACCTCTTCCAGATCCTCCTCTTCAAGCCGCAAAAGCAAGACGCTGGATCTTGCTGACCCACTTAACAAAACACCAAAGAGGTCCTCCAGCAGGTCATCCAGCAGGTCATCCAGCAGGTCGTCCAGCAGGTCGTCCAGCTCCAGCTCCTCCAGCTCCATGTCCAAGGTGAGGCAACTTCACAATTCACAACTTATACAGTTATGAAAACCGCATTGTTGTTTTGGAGACGATAAGGACAATTTTATTCACCTGCTTTTCTATTACAACAGGAACGGTATGAACTGAACTTCACCAAGGATCACATCCACGAGGTAACATTATTGTTATCTTTTAGAAGTGTTTTTACTCACTTCGACGCACAAAGAAATTGCCTCCCCAAGCTAATTTAAATTGTAAACCACCTTGCAGTGTTTCTGAGCTGGGTAAATGTTTTTCCTTTGCAGCATTCGATCTCAGCAGAGCGTGTGAAAAGCAAGAGCAGCGCTAGCAGCTTTGAATCCATCTACAAGGCAAGTTATAAAAATTATTGTAGTCCTGTGCATCCATATACGAGTAAAGAAAGAAAAAACAAAAACAGTCTACATGTCTTCTTTGTGCTTGCAGGCCAAATACCTGTCCAACACCGTCCGTCCACAAGTCGCAGTCCTGGTCCGTGCCATTAGACAAGACAACAAGAACCAGGGATATCAGATCGCTGCTTACTTTGACAGTGAAACCGCCAGAGTGCAGATCATTGTGGCCAACCTCACTGAGAATAACAACTGGACGATCTGTGCTGACAGCGTGATGCTCAGCCACCACAAAGTGATGGTACAGTTTTTCTTTTAGCGTTTTATTTTTATTAATTATAACTTAAAACAGTCACCATGAAACCCAGACACTGCAGCTGTAGTTCAAAACAGTTTATTTTTAGTGCAAAACTGCAAGTTTCCAGGCTTCCAGTTGCTGCTTTCATTCAATACTGACAGAAATTAAAATTTTATTTTCCTATGGGAACATTAAAAAATGCAAAATAAAAGGTAAAACTGTTCAGCTTCAAACTGTGCAGCGCAAGGCTAAGAATATGGGTTCACAAAGTAACAAAGATTTCATGTTGCTGATGAAAGATTTGGTCCCCAGTTGTGCTTTCTTATAAATTAGCGCACATTAATGCACCTTCCCGTTAACTTATTATGGAAACTTATTTTTTTTCCCAGACTCGACTAACCTGGGGAATTCAATGCAAGCAGTACAACACCACAATCACAGCTGAAACCGGTCGCGTTGAGAAGAAACCTGCAATCCGTGTGAAACTGGCCTGGGCGAGACTCCCTCATTACATGAAGAAATATTCAAGAAGGTAACGTCACAAACGAAGGAAATCATCCTGTAGCCATCGCCCTTCGGAAGTCAAGCCTTAATTTGTTTAAGTTTTTAAGGTTTTTTTTTTTAACTTTTTCTCCCATTTAGAGTCTCTAAATTGTTTTACCGTGTCGCTGAGGACATTGGAGTGAGCAGGACAAAGGTTCTCAACGAGCCCAGACAGATAAAACTCACTGTAGCTGTTGCCAACGAGACAAACCTGAACGTCACACTGAAGACATCAAAGGTGCAGCAATGCATCATCATTTAATTCATGCAAACACCACATTTGCATTGCACGTATATGTCAAAGATCATATCTGTTTGTTGGAAATCCAGAGGGCCTATTACAAACTGGGATGGGCCGTTCCCGTATACCTGCCGATTAACAACACTGCTGCTGAGCTGCAGGCGTTCCGGGGCAGATGGACGGAGCAGGTCACCTATATGCTCACCAAGTCTACCGCAGGTGAAAATCCCTCACACATCACTGAATGTTAATATGTAATTTCTATGAGCAGGTTAATGGTAATAGTGTTTTCCAAATATTCCAAATAAAGCAATTACGTTACATTACATTCATTTAGTTTAAGAAAATGTGCGTAAAAATACAATCTGCTGATCTCAAACTGGGCCGTGCCTAATTTATGCCCATTTTAAAGAGGTTAAATTCAGTGTTTTTCTCATTTCAGCCGAGTGCTCCGTGGTCAATGACACAGTGGTCACCTTCAACAACAGGAAGTTCAAAACAGAGATGCCCCACACTTGCCCTCAGGTCTTGGCTCAAGATTGCACAAACGAACTCAAATTCATAGTTCTGCTGAAGAGGGACCAAACAGCAGAAAAGAATGAGATCAACATCAAGGTTGAAAACATGTAAGTGATGACTGTACACAGAATGCATGCAATATGACTGTCTTTGAAGAAAACGACTTTAACATTTAAGCTGTGTTTCCACAGTGATGTCGACATGTATCACAAGAACAATGTCGTTATGGTGAAGGTTAATGGAGCAGAAATTCCTCTCAACAACCTGCCATATCAGCACCCCTCAGGTAGGACAATGTGGTGGGTTATATACTGGACTCACACATATCGACCATTTAATTTTATGTTTAAACGTGTATGTTTATAACAGGCAACATACATATCAAAGAGAAAGAGAAGGGCATTTCTCTGTTTGCTCCCAGTCATGGTCTTCAGGAAGTCTACTTCAGCTCTGATAAAGTGCAGGTGATGACAAAAATCTGGTAAACTTGGGTATTCATCAAATGACATCTTGATAATTGCATAATTGTGACTCAAATACCTTTTATTTCCCCTCCAAGGTTAGGGTGGTGGACTGGATGAGAGGCCAGACCTGTGGAATCTGTGGAAAAGCTGGCGGCGAATTCAGACAGGAGTACGTCACTCCGAACGAGCGGGTTTCCAGGAACGCGACGAGCTTCGCTCATTCCTGGGTTCTGCCTGCAAAGAGCTGCCGTGAGGCCTCTGGTAAAAATCTGTTCCGATTTTAAAGACCCTAACACCGTAATTCAAAAGAATTTGCGCAACGATATACGATAGTCTGCAAACAATACAAAAATGAAAGGGTCAAATATATATATATTTTTTTCCAGAGTGCTACATGCGGCTTGAGTCGGTGAAGCTGGAGAAGCAGGTCAGGGTGGCAGGTGAGGAATCTAAATGCTACTCCGTGGAACCTGTGCTGCGCTGTCTGCCTGGCTGCCAGTCCGTGAGAACCACCTCCGTCACTGTCGGCTACCACTGCGTTCCTCAGGGTAAGCAAGCTAGTCACAAGAACACATTTATTAAAGCACTCTTCAAATCTTGCACCAAACCTAACCGCTCCGCTCTCCCTTTCAGAGTCGAACATGAATCGCCCTGATGCTCTCAGTAGCATCTTCGAGAAGAGCATTGATGTGAGCGAGACAGCGGAGTCCCACCTGGCCTGTCGCTGCACTCCACAGTGTGCCTAATTGTGTTGCTTTCTGACATTCGTTCTGTTTTTGTGTTTCATGGATGCTTGTAAACTAAAATAAAGAAGCAATTGAAATATTGTCTCTGTGGTGAACTTTGATGGCACAAAGTAAAAATAAGGTATCATTGAAAATAAATGTAGGGTTAAGAAAATGTATCATTCACTGCTAATAATAAAAAGAGCCGAGAGATCCAAGACAGTTTTCAGAATACATTTAGAATTAATTAACAGAAATACAGAAAATAACATGATTAAAAAAAAAACAAAAAAAAACACACACACACACACATTTGAACTGAGATATGATGGCAACATTTGAGATGGTTATTAGACAAAAAGATAAACCTCAAGGGTTTTTTTGCTTGCTACAAACATCAAAAATAATCAAAACTAAACCACAGTATTTAGTCTGTTCATACTATAACACCTTTATAACATGTTGCAAGTGAATTTTAACTGCAAATTCCATACTAATAATTAGAAATGTGCCGATCAGGTTTTTTTCTGCCGATTCCGATCACCGATACCAATCACATAATTATTATTTTTTTAATCATAAGCACTACCGGTTACATTATGTGGAAAAAGGAACCAGGAATTCACATAGATTTAGACAAAATCTTGTTTTTAATAACTTTTTTCAAGAAAAAAATAAAAACAGGCATTGTGCAAATTGTACTGCTATTGGTAATACTATTTTTAACAGACTGAAAACATGAAGGCTCT